CTGCTGAAGATCATGAAGGCTGAAGATCTATCGATCTCAAGTTAATTATGGGTTTAAAGTTTATAATTAATAATGTTGAAATCAATATATATATATATCAAGGATATAATGATATTTGTGTTGGTTTAATATAATATATATATGTAATGAAATGTTGGTTAACTTTGTTTCGTTGTTGCTTGCATTGTTGTTCTATGGGTGCTGGAGAGGAATGCGTTATAAACAATTGAGTTTGAGATGTTGAGAGATACATGTACATGAACGCTGCTAGTTGGTTCAACTTCTTAGTTCTTATGTGTATTTGCATGCGTTCATGTAATATATATATAAAATACAGGTTGTAGGTATTTATAAAAGATGGAGAACATGAGGTAAGTACCGAATTACATCAAAGAAAGTACTCAAATGAATCTATATGAAGTTGTCCAAAATCCAATTACATGAAGATAAACTTATAGGAGAGTACAAATATGATAAATAAATATAGACTTTTCCTGTCGAAACATCTCATTGTTCCGTTATCAACTCCAACCTTTATCCATAGCCAACTTTCTTGCATTTGTCATTTCCATTCATCATCAGCATTTAGTATAGTGTTTGCGAAGATTATTCATTAACCTTTTGTCTATGTTCCTCAAATTTATTATGTTTTTTTTTGTTAGACATATGACTGATGTATTATGTTTTTATTTTACTTATAATAAGATACCATTAACAAGTGTACAACCTAGAAATATTCAAACCCATTTACATAATGGTAGAAATTGTATTGCTAAATGTTGGTCTTATATTGGTTTATTGAAATATTAGTTGAATGTACCTTAATGCGTGTCTTGAAATATTCATAATGTGTAATAATAAATTAATGTTTGACATATGGTAAATATACATGAAGATGTAGCTTATAATTGAATGGAACCTTAATAAAAAAATATTACAACTCTTCCTAAAAGGATATGTCATGAATAATGTGACTCTTGATAAAAGAGTATCTCTTGAATATTAATGACTCTTCATAAAAAGATATGACTTGAATGATTGTGATTCTTAAAAATATATATGATTTGAATAAACATAATTAACTAAATGAAGAGATGCGAATTAAACCATTATATTTCTACATAATATGAATACATGGTAACTTGGTAAGTCCTCATAAAAACGATAATGGTTATCATCTTGTTACTTATTTATCCATACATATATTTAATATAATTCTACTGATGCTATCATTCTTAAACACACTGATAAAGAAACACATCATTACATGTTATCACATCCTAATTAAAATAATTCTAATAAATATTAAGATGGGATGAAATAATAATACATTAGACATAGTTATTATAAATATATGACATGGGGAATTTTTCTAAATTGATTAGGCGGTAAAATAAAAAAATATTAAAGTAATATATATATAAGGGTAAAAAAAAAAAAGTTGTAAGTTTACACGTTACTATAAGTAGTGTTTTAAAAATCATTATGATTTAGTTGGATAAAGTTGTTTACCAAATACTTCAGTTTTAGTCAAACAAATTTATAAACTAATAAAATAATTAATATAAAAAAAAATAAAAAAAATTATTCTAAACATACTCAAACTCTGTATTTATATAAAGTGAAAGTTTATAGAGTAGAACATTTTATTTTTTAATTTAATTTATATGTATTGTTAGCGTAATTTTTTTTTTCACACAAACATCTAGCTAACTCACTATGGTCACATCATTCACAAGAATGATCAATTCATATAAGATGTTTGTGTTAAAAAAAAATTACACTCAGTGTATATTAATTAGTTAAACTCTTTTTCTATTTGGTTATAATTATATAATTATTTTAAACTATATTTATAATTACATTTTTTTCTTTAAAAGCTATTCAAAGCAGCTTCTCAAAGTAATTAATATTTAATTTTATCACATTTAATAAAAAATAGTTAATGTATTGTATTTAATAGGTATAATATTTAATATATTAATTTAATTTTTTGAGACTATATTTAATGAACATAATATTTAATGCTACTATGCAATTAACTTTACTATTTATTGCTACTAATAGATACATCATTTACATATATTTTTTATATAATTTTAAGTACATTTAATATTATAAGTGCTAAATGTAGAACGGTGCACGACAATCTAGGCTGAATTTCAGAAGAAAAAAAATTGGTTCAATTTGGTTTTGTTCATGAGAACTAATCGGCCAGGCCGAACCTATAATTTCTAGGCCTGAAATATTGGACCTATCTGACCCAGTATTATTATTTTTCTTTATAAGTTAAATTTTAAATAAATATAGAAAAAATTAAATGAAGCAATTTGCTAGTTTGGCCCAACTGGTCAGTAGGCCAAGTTGGACTACAAAATAAATGAATGTGCCTTATAGGCTTATGATATATACACTTTTTTTTTTATGAGTACACTTTTTTTTTAAAAGAAATTTTTAAAATATTTATATTTTTTTTATTCTTTAATTTTTAATTTTACACTTTTAACTTTCAATTTATTACTTTTTTTTTTTCTTTTTCACACATTTCCTTCCTTCTTTGTTTTAGTTTTCACATGCACCATTTTTTCTTCCTTCAATTCCCTACATATTTTAGTATGTAGTTTTAGTTCTCTTGATTTTTATGTTATTCTTTTTTTTTTCTCTCATTTCTTTCACTTTTTAGCAGACTGTAGAATTGGTATATGACAACATTGTAGTTACGTATGACTTCCTCAACAATTTTTACCAAATTAGACATACATTTTTTTTCTTCCAATACTTCCTCTCTTTTCACTCCTCCAAAAATCTTAACATTAAGCTAGTGTTATGAAAAATACATTTTCACTATTTTAGAGTACTTTTCAAAATAGTAAAATTACTATTCTGGAAAGTACTTTTCAAAAGTGTATTATTTTAAATAATTTCGAAAAGTTCTTTTTAGAATAATAAATTTAGTGTTTCAAAATATATTTTATGAAATTGAGTAAAATAATATACTTCCAAAAAGTACTTTATGGAACATTTTACTATTTCAGAATGTACTTTTTGAAATACTAAATTTAATGTTTCGAAAAAAACTTTCCAAAAGTATGTTAAAAACTCAATTTTGAAACATGTTTTCGGTAACATTAACTTTACTATTTCGAAAAGTACTTTATGAAATATTAAAATTGTTTTATGTTGTGTTTGTTAAACGTGTAAATGGGGGAAGTACTCAAAGTAAAAATGCACATTTAGCTTGACACTTTTGACATTATTGAGAAAGTCACATATACCTATATTGTTGTCAAAAACTTGTTCTTCATTCTAAGCACGTGTGAAAACTAAAAATACGGAGGGAAAAGATAATAGTGAGTAAACTAAAAGAGGAGGAAGGAAGAAAGTAAGGTAAAACTAAAAGAATTAAAACTACCTGCCGAAATAAGTAGGGATAGAGAAAAGGTAATGCGGTACATGTGAAAACTAGAAAAAAAAAAGAAGAAGAAGAAAGGAAATGAAGTGTGTGAAAAAAGTGTTGGGAAAAGAAGCCTTCAAACAGCGGAAGCACACACAACAAGAGAAAAACAAACTCAACAGATTATTTTATTTCTCTCCACTTGCAATTTTTACAAGGACAAAATTACAAACCCTTTCATTCACAAGTTTTCTGGAAAAAAGTTTTATGGCAAAACTTGGAAACCCTCTCATGACACACAACTACCCAAGTCCCCAATATACCCATTGGAACCAATGTTGTTGTGGTGAGTAGACTCAAAATTATCACCCCTTATTTATAGTAGTAGTCTACCACTTCCCTTCTTCAAACTACCCAATGTGGGACTTTGTAGGATACCCACACACTTTGGGCACAACACAAACTACCCGATGTGGGACTTTGGAGGACACCCACACACTTTGGGCACAACATATCCTCCCTTCATCCAAAGTCTCACATTAATCCATCATCATTCACAAGTTTTCTGGCAAAGTTTAGAAACCCTCATTCACAAGTTTTTCTGGCAAAACTTGAAAACCATCTCCTCACAAGTTTTTCTGGCGAAACTTGAAAACCATATCTTCACAAGTTTTTCTGGCGAAACTTGAAAACCCTCCTTTCACAAATTTTTTTGGCAAAACTTGGAAACCCCTTCTCACAAGTTTTTCTGGCGAAACTTGGAAACCCTTTCCCACAAGTTTTATGGCGAAACTTAGAAACCCCTTATCACAAGTTTTTCTGGCGAAACTTGGAAACCCTCTCTTCACAAGTTTTTCTGGCGAAACTTGAAAACCCCTTCACACAAGTTTTTCTGGCGAAACTTGGAAACCCTCATTCTCACAAGTTTTATGGCGAAACTTGGAAACCCTCCTCCATATGACCTCCTCGGTACACTGCTTCTCTTCCTCCCTGGTACACTGCTCCACCATCAAGCTGGTCACCCGATCAAACCATCGGCTCTGATACCACTGTTGGGAAAAGAAGCCTTCAAACAGCGGAAGCACACACAATAAGAGAAAAACAAACTCAACAAATTATTTTATTTCTCTCCACTTGCAATTTTTACAAGGACAAAATTGCAAACCCCCTCATCCACAAGTTTTATGGAAAAACTTGGAAACCTTCATACACAAGTTTTCTGGCAAAACTTGGAAACCCTCTCATGACACACAACTACCCAAGTCCCCAATATACCCATTGGAACCAATGTTGTTGTGGTGAGTAGACTCAAAACTATCACCCCTTATTTATAGTAGTAGTCTACCACTTCCCTTCTTCAAACTACCCAATGTGGGACTTTGGAGGATACCCACACACTTTGGGCACAACACAAACTACCCGATGTGGGACTTTGGAGGACACCCACACACTTTGGGCACAAACTATTATTTTTGATTCTTGTAAAATGAATAAATTTTTATCTTATTCCCTTTTTCTTTATTTTTCATTTATGTAAAATTTAAAATTATTATTTTTTGTCTTTAATGATAATTTAAAGTATATAAGTAATATTTATTTGAAAGATTTATAAATTTTTTTAAGGGTATCACAAACTCAAATGAATGATTAATAGACGTAGAATATATATAATATAATCACCTTACCTTTTAATAAAGAAATAGTTAAAAATAATTACATAATAATATAATTAAAAGTAATAGTTGTAAATTTTAAAAAATAAAAAATAATTTTCTTTTACAAAAAGAAAAATATTTTTTTAAAATTTAAAACATATTTAAGTTTTTAATTAAAAATATTTAAATTTTTTTATAATATTATTTAATGATATTAAATTTAATACTTTGGATTATATAATTTAATATAATATATTATAGAAAAGTAATAATATAATATTCAATTATTCTAAAAGAGAAAATTTTAATCTTTTATAGACTTTAATAAAAAAAAAGGACAGTATAATACTTAAATATTATATAAGATATTTTATGTTAGCGATATTAAGTTAAATCGTATATTTTAATGTAAAGATGTGAAAGTGGTGAAATATTTTCATTTTTACAATATAATTGTCTACAGGAGTTTAAGAAAACCAAATAGTTCATAGTTTAAAATAACCAAATAGTTTCATAGTTTAATTATAATTTTTGAAAGGAATTTTTATCAGTGCAAAATTTACCAAAGCAAAATATTTAAAGGTGCGACCATATTTGTGGACTGTCCATCTGAGAGTCAAGTATTCAGATCAAACGGCTAGGATGATCTGATAGCGACACACATACGTGCTCGTTTATTGACCACGTCACAGGGTTCGCCATGGTAGTAGGTCACGGTCTCACAGACCTCTAATAGACCTCCACGTGTACGGATAACACACTCCCTCCGGCACCATTTCCGCGGAACCGGTCCAAGTTTCAGTCCTAAAGCCGCATTTGGACACCCCGAATCCGAACAAATATTTGGCCCATTGCAATCCTGTTCCATACCGAAGTTTCCAAACACGCCGTTAGCTTTAAAAAGAAAAAAAAAGGAATATAGCACGTTGGAGCACATTCCTTTTTCGTTGTTGCAGTCGCACACTTCACGTATTAAGAGCCCAACGCGAATGCGAATTTGGATCTTAATCTTCACTTCGTCTGTTCTTCGATCTTGCGAACTAGGTACGCTCATTTCTCATTTCCTTCTTCGTTTTCTTCGCCGAGAAAGCGCGATAAAATTCCAGAAACTGAATCACTTAACTCTTTTAGCGGGAAACTGGTTTTTCGATTTGGATTCGATCGAACTCAGCTAGTTTTCAGTTGCGAGTTATTCGAGCATAGTTTTCTCGCTCCAATTGATCCGTGAAAGCGTGGAAGCTCAAGCGATAAATTGAGATTTGAATCGTTGGTTATTGATGATTCCTCGTGAATGCAGTAGTTAATTACTTAGTTTAGTTGCTTACGTGAATGATGAGTGTGTGTTGTTTTCAGTGAGCTGGAGTTTCAATAATGATGGAGAGGGCAGATTCTGTGCAGAAGCTGTACACGCGCATGCGACTCTGGGAATTTCCGGATCAATTTGTGATTGAACCAACGGATGGATCTTCTGGTTCTTCTTTGGCTGTTAGTCGAGTCGATGGCTCCATGAAGCTCATCGGTTAGTTCTTTGCGTTACTTCTCTTCGTGCTTTTCTTAGCATATGTAGTTTTCCTCTTGTGATTTTTCAGCAATTCATTCATGATCAATCCTTATTATTTTGTGTTATGTGTTTTACTCTTCTGTTGCCCTGCTTTGACAGATGAGGTTCCGGAGTGCAGCTCGCTTCGAGTTCCTAAGATTTTTACAATTTTCGGTGTTGTTGGGATGTTGAGGCTCTTGGCTGGTGAGCAATCACTTAGCCATCGTGATTTGATGATTGATATTGTAGATATATGTGATTACTGTATGTTGCCGTAAGTTTTTATTTCCTGTGTGTTGGAAGTATTTTTGGGGGGAGACTGGAGGGAGATTGTAGCTGGGAATTGGGATATTTTACTAATGATTTATGATGATTGGTTTTGTAACACAAGTGAAAGCAAAATTTGAATATAAAAATACGATCAATGTTGGGGGTAAATTATATGTTTGTTTTTTCATATTTCTTTATCTATTGAATTAACAAAAAGCAGCGGATTTGAGGATCATGGTAACTTTATTTTCCATTTTGTATGAATTCTGTTTAGTTCATTTATCCCTGTGGCTTACGCAACAAATAAGTCCATACACCCTATTACCCTCTTTTTTCATTACTTATACTTGTTACTTTGATATTGATATCTGGTTTTCTAGAGATCTAGTTTACATACCGGACTTTTCTTCAGAATTTAGACACTGTATTGTTTATCAACGGAAGACTTCAATTTGAGCAAATATTTTGTTGCAAAATTTCTCTATCACCCCAGGTTCATACTTGCTGGTTATAACTGAGCGTGAATGTGTTGGATCTTACCTGGGGCATCCAATTTTTAAAGTTTCTAGATTGAAGGTGTTTCCATGTGATAATTCTCTTAAAACTACCCCCGCTGAACAGGTATGTTTGCTACGGCTCCACTTATTTCTATCATTTAATGTCCACTACCAGTTTGAAACTCATAATTGCTGTACCATATTTGGCAGAAGAAAATAGAGATGGAATTTTCTGGGCTGCTTAATGTTGCTGAGAAAACCTCTGGTCTGTTCTTCTCATATGAAACTAATTTAACTCTGAGGTGAAGTTCTTTGAATATTTTTTGGCAGTCTTACATTTTTATTTATGACTGAAATATGATATGGTTTTATTTTGATTCTAACATTTGCTACCTTACACATGTACATATATAATTATCAACAGAGAGGAAACTAACCATACATTCTTCCTTTGATTAGTAGGTGCAACCATGCAATCAGTAAACCTATAGAAAATGCACTTTCCCCCCTTTTTTCATATGAAGTATGTACAACTTTTTTGCATGGCATTTACGATGGCATTATATCATTCTGACATTGGATGACCAAAGTATTAATTTGTGCTCGTTTAAGAGCTTTTGCTTGCATAATGGCATTCATAATTTGAAAGGTATCACTACATAAGGGGTGTGGATATGAAATGTTTTAATAAGAATATGTTTGGCCATATTGGTTGTAAACCTCTAAATCACATATTTAAGGGGTATCTATTTTAATATACACTTTTATTGATATTATGATTTTAAGGGAATGAACTTATTTTGAATTTTTGGAATCTAACTTTTGTAGAGCTGTCAGTCACTTCAATCTTAATTAAAAGGCATAAGTTTAGTGGTAATATTGACTATTACTTCTAAGTTATGAATGTTGGAAAGTATTTTTAATCTTGAATACAAATTGTCTACACTTTCTAGTATGAAAAGAAAGTAAAATGTTGGCTTCTCCCAGAAAATGATTATCACATACAACTCCCTTTTGTTGAAGAGAATTATGATTGCTTGATTGCTCTGATGAATTTTTGCAGTCATGGACTTCTAACTACTGAATTCTGACACTTTTTTCTTCTTCTAGAAAATAGCCGTAAAAAATTGTGGTTGCTAATTTTTTTAAGATTCAAGTCATTTTGATGTTATTTAAACAACGTATTGTGTTGCTTTACTGATACTATTATCCTAGTCAAATATTTTTGGACTACATTTATATTATCTATCTATATAATCAAAATAAATTGTGATATTTTTATTATATTATGTTTTGCAGTGCACAACGGTTGAATGACCTGGGTGATGAGTCTAGATTGCTTCCTCTTTGGAGACAGGTATTTATTTCCTTTTTGTTTTGCCACATGCTTCTAATATTTTTAGAATAGTGGATTTAAATTTAACTCAACCCTACAAAACTGGCTTGTTAGGTGAGAATTGCTCTCCACTTATATACTCTTTAATTGTCTTATCTTTAATCGACGTGGGACTTGGATTTTTTCCAATACATCCTCTCACATCTAGCACTATTAGACTTGGTACGTGGATAAATGGTGTGGGTGACCCTTTTTAATGATCTAGGATAGATGATCATTTTTAATGATCTAGGATAACTCTAATACCATCTTAGAATAGTGGATTTGAGTTTAACTCAACCTTACAAAACTGACTTGTAAGGTGAGGATTTGTTTCTACTTATATACTCTTTAATTGTTCTTTAATAGTGGATTTGTTTTGCCACATGCCTGCTATTATTAGAGATATTTTATTATTTTTTTAATCCCCCCACCCCCAGCATACTTTTATTCTCAATATTATTCCAAATCGATACTCCAGAGTCCTGATGTCTATGCAAATGTCCACTTTGAATTGATTTTTTCTGCACTTTTCTGGTTTGCCCTATTATTCTGCTTATGTTACTAAATTATTGATCACAGGCAGAGCCTCGATTCCTATGGAACAATTATATTTTAGAAGTGCTCATAGATAACAAGGTAGGTTTGTGGCAATTTTATTTTTCCCTGTTCAATTTCTTCAGTACTTACGCATTTTTATATTACTAACCAATAAGGTGTGCAATCCTGTGCTTTCCAGCTTGAACCATACTTGCTCCCTGTAGTCCAAGGCAGTATCCTTATCTGATTAATTATTTGCAACGTTATTGTGCAATTATGTAACTGTTTCTTTTCAAGGTTATCCTTAACAAGTAAATAGGCTTTTATCACTTTCAAGCAGCCATTGGGATAGACATTATTGATGTCACTTTGATTGCTAGGAGATGCACAAGAAGAAATGGTATTTAAAGCTTTTGGATACATTTCTAGTCATTTCCATGCATAAAAAAAAAAAAAAGCTGTTGTTTCCAGCTTGTCTGTGCACTTTTAAATATCAAATGTATTTATGTTTCTTTCCATTTATAGAATCAAGATCTCTAGGCCATGAAATTAGTTCAATGGTTAGTTTGGTGGTGATAGTGAAAGCAATCATGAGATTTTTTTGCAGTTGCACTAAAAATGTAGATCTAGAATATATCGCTCTAAAAATGTAAAAATGGATGTTAGAGGGTAGAGAGTGTGTTTTAGTTACTTACAGTTTAGACTAGGGCATTTGTGAATGAAGGCCATACCTAATAACATGATGGCTATTTTGGTATTTGACCATAGATATAGATACAATGGAATATGCCTCTGCATGTGCAAACTAGATTAACTTGAGCTGTGGAAGCAATGTTTTAGTGTGTACCATTTAGAATCAATGGAGCACAAACCACATTTATTTATCAATTAGTTAAAATTAATATTGATGAAACCACAGATCTTATGCTTTGGATGAACCGATAAAAAGATTATTAATTACAATTGTTGAGAAGAGAAATGAAAAAAATTCATTCTAGATGAAGATCCTTATGAAAATTATTTATTAAACATGTTAATACTTTGATTTACTATATATCTAAGATTTAAAATTATTTGTACCATCTATGCATCTACAATTTGTAAGGTTTTTGTATGAGAAAACATAGGATTGTCATTTGTGGTTGCTTTAAATTTTTAAGATGGTCGTCATCATCTTTTATTGGGTAGTTAACTGATGATACAAATGTGATTTCATTTATTGAAAGGAACTCGGATGTGGAGAAGAGGAGCTGATCCTGATGGCTATGTTGCCAATTTTGTGGAAACAGAACAAATTATGCAGTTTAATGGGTATACTGCTTCATTTGTTCAGGTATTGCTTTCCATGTGTATGACATGAACCAGTTATGTGGTGGGTTCGATGCAAGATATGAATGTGCTGACTTACCTGAGAGCAGTGATCCTAATCTGAAAGCATTTCCAATGTTTTGAAATGAACATTACCTTTTGTGGTTATAAGCATGTTTACAGAAACATAATTAATAAACAATTGGTATCTATTATTGAGTTTGCTTGCTTAATACTTGGTAAGAGAGTAAAAGCTGAAGGAGATAATATAAAAATTAATTGCCATTTTCATTTGTTATTAACAAATTATATCCAAATAATAAAATGTTGCTAGTGACTACACCAAAGCAGTTCACAGAAAAGCACACCTGTTTTGTTGCCAATGATACCTGGAGCAGGTTTCCAAATAATGCCCAAAAAAACAGTTGTGTTTTTCTTTGCAACTGTTTTTCTGTCACTGGAGTTTCCTAGTGGAGAATCTTTGTTTTGATGTCAGAAAACTGTTGTATGGCCTTTCCAGTTGGGAAAATTACATTTTTTCCAGAAAACTGTCTTGATAAAAAAACATTTTTAAAGGAAAAAATCCATATTTTTGGTTAGAATCACCACATTTTGTTCATTTACTTTTTTTTATTAGAAGTTCCATTTTTGTAAATTTGCTTTTCTAGTTTCATGATGGGTTGATGTATACCTGCTAGGCCAAATTATTCCCATATCCAGCGACTGGTAGCTTTAAAAAGAACAGAAAATAGCATTATGACATAACTATCTTTGGGTATTTTTTCAATTATAAAATACGGGCTCTCTAATAAGATTTGATCCTAGTAGGATTTTAGTTTATTTATAAAAAAAAATGAGCTGGGCACTTACTTGAATGTAGCGATTGTGATAATTGAAATTGGATGTAAATTAGAATTAGCGGGTTTTTCATGGAGATCACTGCAACTATCTTAGATTATAGAATGGGTGACTTATGATATTGTATGATCCAGAAGTACATGGCTTTTGATAAAAGCAAGGCAAGAGGAGCAACGATGCTTGCTTTTAGTTTTGTGAGATAAATGATAGCTGTATATGTACCACCAGTTTTGTGTCAATTAAACATGCATTTCATTTCATATCACAGTCATCTTGGTTGAGCTTTTGCAGGTCCGTGGTTCTATTCCTCTCCCCTGGCAGCAAATTGTTGACTTAACTTACAAACCAAAGTTCGAGTTATTGAAACCTGAGGAAGCTGTAAGTGGTTGTATTTTTTAGGCCTATGAATAATGTTCTGTGTATTTCACTTATATTTTTTTCGCTTAAAATGCAGCCACGAGTCCTAGAGAGGCATTTCTTAGATTTAAGGAAAAAATATGGAGCAGTATTGGCTGTTGATCTTGTTAACAAGGTAAATATTCTTTCATTGCATAATGAATTGAGAAAACTTATATGATGGTTGACAAGCGTGCAACCTATCTGCACCAGCCAAAATATTAGACATATGCTGTACATGCTCCTGAGAATGTGTGATGACGTGCATGAAATTGTTATATATCAGCATGCATACATTTGAGTCCTCTTTTCCTTGGTATTTTTCAGCATGGAGGAGAAGGGCGACTGTGTGAAAAATTTGGTAGTACAATGCAGCATGTGGCTAGTAACGATGTAAGGTATAAATCTCTCTCAATTAACTTTTAGGTCAATATACATACATTCTTTTTGGCTTTTTGGGTTGCCCATGCATATTTGATTTTTTTTTTTTTTTTTTTTTTTTTTTTTTTTTTTTTTTTTTTTTTTTTTTTGTAGATATCTGCACTTTGATTTTCACCATGTCTGTGGGCACATTCATTTTGATCGTCTCTCAATCCTTTATGATCAAATATCAGATTTTCTTGAGAGAAACGGGTATGGAATTTTTTTATTGGTTAAGCTTATTTGATATTGACTTTCTTTAGATTAGTTAATAATTTAATTAGCGGTTATATTGATTGCTTTAGTGCAGGGTGTTTTTGTTAAACTACTAGTCTTTGAACAAATGTCAATAATGTATATTACTATGTTTGTTATGTTGCTTAATTTGGAACCATCTGCTATAATAACTTGGACATTTTTTAAGCATAATGCCATGAGCTGTCTAACAAAGCTCCCCCCTCCTCCCCCAGAAAATGACCTTAACCCTTTATAATAAAATTTTGGATTTAATTCTAAATGTGATGTTTAAAATTAAAAATCTGACCCCTGGGTTGCATTCTGTTTTGGATTTATAGATATCTTCTGTTAAATGAGAAGGGAGAGAAAATGAAGGAGCAACTTGGAGTTGTTAGGACCAATTGTATTGATTGCCTAGACCGTACAAATGTAACTCAGGTTGGTTGAAATCACTTAGCTATGTGCATGTCTCTGTGTTTGTGACATCATTTTCCTGCTTGCTTATGCTGAAATATTCATGCAGAGCATGATTGGCCGGAATATGTTGGAATACCAGCTTAGAAGGCTTGGTGTCTTTGGTGCTGAAGAAACCATAAGTTCACATCCAAATCTGGATGAAAGCTTTAAGATCTGTAAGTGATACTTAATTTTCAGATTATGTGCTTTGACACACACACACGTGTTATATTATGTAGTTATTTTCATTTAATACATTCAAATTTTTATTATTTCATAGAACTTGAAACCTTGATTTCTGACTGATTCTTAATGATCAGTGTGGGCTAATCATGGGGATGATATAAGTACTCAATACTCTGGAACTCCTGCTCTTAAAGGAGATTTTGTCAGGTAATTTTTTTTTGGATGAATCTTTCCAAAGCTTTTCATGTTCCTCACAGAAAAGAAGATCGAGAAATTATGAGCCCATATAGGTCTTCTATGTTGAAATTAAATTAGCATACTTTCATGGTTTTATCATTTTACCATTGTGGTAATTGTGCAATTTTTTTGAATAATGGATTTTTCCATGTTAGTCTTTGCTTTTTTTCTATTCCTGTTTAATTTCATCAACTGTCATTCAACTAGAATCACAAAAATTAGCAATAACAACAAACATAATTATGCAAATGTTGATACTTTGAGGTTTAATAACTTATGATATTCTGGTGAGATTCGTCATGATTTTGAATTTAACCTGTTTCTTACCTAATTAATTTTTTTGGTGGGAATCAGATTTGGGCACCGCACAGTTCAAGGAGTTATACAAGATGGTTGTAATGCTCTTCTACGATATTATTACAATAATTTCTGTGATGGAACAAAGCAGGTTTGTGTAGCTCATTGTTTTTTTTTTTTTGGTGATAGATATTTTTTTTGGTGATATTGTGTAGCTCATTTATTATTATGTATGGGGTACTCTAGCTTTCTGGCAGTCTAGCTATTGTGTAGAATCTTTAGGTGTTCACTAGGAGATCATAACTCATTGTCATATCTAGGTTCTGTCTTTTGTATATTTGATTTCTCCCTTCTGCATCCTAATTCAAAGTTTTTTTTAGAGTTTTACTGCTGTGTAATAATTATTAATTACGCTTCAGGAGATACTGAGTTGTCATGTACATATTTTACTGTGGATCATAATCTTAATATGGTCTGTGCGATATTCTTTAATGCTAGCTGAATAGATCTTGACTGAAATAATCATTTTAAAGGTTAATTTAAGAATTCATTTGCAATTGATTTATGCTGTTCATTTTTTTAATTATGTGAAGGATGCAATTGATCTCCTGCAAGGACATTATATAGTTTCTGTCAGCCGAGATACAGCTTCCACTTCTCAGAAAGGAGGCCTTGAAGCTATAGCTGTGAGTACAATTTTTAGATGGAAGTCTTTTCCTGAATGAAGCTTGAGGAATCTATTTTGGTTTAAGAACAGTTTTTAGAAAGTTTTACAATTTACAAATATATTTTAACTTCTATGATGTATGGCTAAATTCATACTGTTTATACTTAAATTGATTGGAATCTAATTTTTATGGATATGGCTTGTCTCATAAGAAAAAAATAATTAAAGGAGAAATTATAAGTTTTCTGCTTTTGTTTATTTATTCATTGTTTGGTGAGACATGTTTTCCTTTTAAGGCTTACACAAAGTTGGTCCTAACCCTACAGAAAAGCGGTGGGATGCAATGGGCCATAGGCGTGAAATACATGCAACCAACTACCAAGTCATTCAAACCTTTATTTATTAACTCAAAGATTACCATTGATATTCAAATGAGCAACCAGATTATTCAGAAAGGAAATGTTTGAGTGATTATGTTGCTGGATTTGAATATTAACATGATTTCTTTTGCATTGCATATTTTGCTGGTATGCAGTTCATTAATATAAAATGCTCTGCGTTAAATGCAAATTGATATTAATATTACCTCATTTATTTTGCAGTCATTTCCTCTGGCTTTTGGTCTGGTGTTGACTGGTTTTCTCTTTGCAACCATGTCATTGAGACAAGGTGAGTTCACTTTTGCTTGTTTGTTTAACTGACTGGTTTCCTCTGACTGTTGTTTGTTTAACATACGATACAAATATACCTGAAGACTAAACTAAGAATTTGAGGGGGAGGGAGTTTTATAGAGAAGAGAGTGAAAATAGGAGGGGTAACCACTCAGTAGAAGCTGTGAACTTCGGTACACATGAATCCTTAAATAGGTTAATAACTTATTAGTTAATACTACAATAATCTTTAAATAGGCTGATAACTAAGCTGTGTTGGATGGTACAAGAAACATTACAAAAATTTAATGAAACACGTGTCTTTGTGTAATTTATCAAACAAGTTAAAAATAAAAGTGATAATCAGAAAAACACGGATGGGTAATAGCATAGAATTTTTGTGTGAAATTTTTTTGTACCTTTTAGTATTTTTCATAATAAGTTTTCCTATTCCACGCCTTTCCCCTCAAGATAAAACCTACTTCAATCTTTGTTATTCTTAATCTATACTTCAATTAGACTCTAATAGGTCTGTTAGTTGAGGGCCCAAGTCAGTTGAGCTTAGGAGAAATAAATGAGGCATGTTGCCAATAAATAGAAAGAGGGGTGAGAGTAAGAGTTATTCAACTGGTGAGTTAGTATTCTGTCTAGGGAGAGTCCTGGATCTCCTAATTTTTCTAGGGAATTTGTGCATTCTTTTTCTGTTCATATAAAACAGTATTTTTTGGTGTGCTTAGTCTAGGTCATATCTTTTTTATTGGGAAGGTTAAATATTTCTTCGTCTAGGTCATATCTTTTAAACAAACTAGTGGGCTTAATCACAGTTATTTAAAGTGGTAGGATGATTAGCTGCGCAATTTTCTAGCCCAGGGTTTCTTGATAGTTAGAGCGAAATGTGAGATGAAACTTCATTAGAATTTCTACCCAGGCTTGCACTTGAAATTTTATGTTTTGAAATTTGATCAGCGTCCAAGGAAATTTTGTCTGTTGTCTTGGTACGCAGACTTTGCTAGCCTAGTTTTAGGCCAATGAGTCTCTGCATGTGCTGGATTAATGTAATGTATATTGCATATGGTGTGTAATGTATGGGTTTTAAGTGTTAAATATTTTGTTCATTATTCCGACAGTTCAATACGATTTTCGACACTTCTTCTTTTCACTAATGTGGGCGGGCATTAGTGTGGGTATAGCAGCATTTGTGAGGGCCAACGGTCGTGTTTTCTGCAACAGACCTCGCCTACACAATCCCCGGTGAAAACTTCTATAGAAATCAGTTTGAGCAATTGAAATTTTTATGTGAAGTGTCCAGCTTCTGCAGCAGGAGTCACCGGCAGAGACCTTAGTTCTACATCTAGTCACTTTAACGATCAACATTTACGAGAGGCTCCTTCTTGCAGCTTATTATATTTATTCTTTCTTACTAATTTGTAATCATTGTAGCTTCCAGATATATATTCATACCATAGTCCATTTAAGTGATTGCTATTTCACCGGTGTTTCTTACGCACCGTCTCCTTGTATATTTGAGTTTCTATTTGCGTTGTCTTTACAAGATTATGGAGGTATTTTAAGGTTCTCAGAAAACATATCGATGTGATTCTCTTCTATTCTTTAAGAAAATTATTGATTCGTGCAATAAGTTTACGTTCTTATTTCAGAAAATATGGTTATTGCATGTTTGCCATAGTCAGGGCCATGCATTTTTTGCGACTCGACCAGCTATTTTAATGAGAAAATAGTACAACGTGGAAATGTTTTATGGCGTCAACTAATAAAAAATTGCTGCATATGATGTTTTTTGTATTTTTATAATAATTATTTAATAATTCATTATCATGATTTCCGACTGATTAATAATAATAAATCTTTTTGCGCTGTATATGCATAGAATTTTTTATTATTTAATATAATTATAAATTATTGGTAAAGACGTTAGCAATAGCAGTTGTGGCTACTATCTACCCAACAGGTCCCTTATGGGAATAGTTTTAAAACTGAGTTTCCATGGGTATCCTAAATAGGTATTTGCGAGTAATTGCTTTGAGTATTATTGTACTTGTTTATAAATAAGGCGGGATAGTATTTATATTCTCGAGTGGTTATTAAGTAAAATTATTTAAATATTTTTTTATTATATCTTTTTTAATATTTTAAAATTAACATTAATTACAAGTTTAAATATTAATGTCAATTATTTGCTTTTAATATTTCAATATAATTAACATCAAATACAAATTTAAAGTTATTTGTAATATCTTTTTTAATAAATTTTTTTAAAAGTTTACAAATATATATATTATATATATATATATATATGTATATGAATATTTATAGTTATTTATAAAATTTGAGTATACTTATTTAACAAATACTTGTATGGATTTGAGATAAATACAAGATAAGTTTTTATCCGACGAAGTAGGGAGGGATGCCTTATTATCCGTCCCCATCTATTGTTATTCCTAATTTTTTGAAGTTACTGAATATGAGTATGACTGCATTGATAAGATTGACAAAAGAAAGAAGTTATTGTTTCAATGTTTTAGAAATAGAGATAATTATTTAAAAGTTATGTTAAAGACAATTTTACACAATCAATGTAATATTTTAATATTGACAATTCATAAAAATTAACTTATAAAATAATAATCACAGAAATGAACGATCTTACCATGCATAAAATCTATCATTGGTTAATAATATAAATAGAATTATAAGATAAATATATTTTAGTTAAATTTTAAATATAATTCAAAAAAATAAGAAGAAAATAAATGAAATACTCGTCATTTTATTCGATTATACAATAACCATTTATTTTTTTACCTAAATTGGGGATATAGTAATATAGAAATAACAAATTTATAGCAACACTCTTGAGATTATTATTATTTATTTCATTCATTCTCACTATTTTTCTAAATTATTCAATTGAAGCTTTCTTGAATATTATCAATAAATATTAAAATATTCTTAACAGGATTTTATTTCGCTCAACGTAAAATATTGTAATAAAGAGAAAAATGTTCCATAATAAAGCTAATGTTTATTCCATAAAATGTGGTAAAAAAGAAGTGCAAACAACACAGATCAGCTTTCATCTTAGATATCGATATGAAGTTATTTTCAAACTTTGTATATTTATAACTAGTTGGTGAAATTGATAGGAATGAACATCGTCAATATAAAGGGTATTGGGTTGAATTTTGATTTTGCTGATTGTTTGAAAGCATAAACCCTCGATGAATCTTATGACATCTCTTGGCTCTTGACCATGAAAATAAGGTAATCTCCGTATCACCTAATTTAACTTTTCTTAATACAATGAATCTCGTAACATGTCTTGACCCTTGACCATAAACTAATTAAGGTTTTTCTTTACACACATTTCTTCAGGATCAATGAATCAGGTCCCATGTTCAAGTATTAGCTGACCTCTCGGACTCTTCTTGGGAGACACTGGTAGTGTTTTGGATTACCCCGTTCATCCATAAAAGAAAAAGAAAATAATATTTTTATTTTAGGAAAAAAAAGAAAGGTTTACGTGAATATGTCAAACTATAAAGACATAAAGTTACCTCGGTTAAGTAAAATCATGTAAAAGAAACCTCTTATTAGGGACGATCTCGGTCTCCCCCTCATTTTTTTTCCTCTTAAAAAAATTAACATATAGTTTAATTAATTTTTTTTCATATAAAAGAGATAAGATCAAGTAACTTGGTAAAATTAATTATACTTTTAATTACAGTATGTAAAAGACTAAATTTTATTATTATAAATATTAAATTATGTGATATTATCTTGGGGATTATATATAAAATTTAAACATTTATAGATGGTAAATTAATAAAATATATTTACTTACATTTTAAATAACATTTCACATGCTAAAATAATATTATGACGTGAAAAATCAATTAAATTTTAAATTATATGAAACATTATAAAATTTACTATTTGTAAAATATTTTTAAATATGTAATTTTATAAAGTTTAGCACTTATTAATTAATTTTATTCCATAAAAAATACGTTGCCTTATAATTTTTAAATAATATAATTATACATCGCTAGACAAGATTACTAAACAAAAAGTCAATGACATGTTGGTAATCTTCGAATCAAACATCACTATCTACTTAGTAATTAACCAAAACTAAGTAGTATTCAATTTAACTTAGAACTTTACTTGTCAAATTGAGTGTTAGTAGAGATTTATTAGAGAAATTTCACTTTTAACGCCATAAATTTCTTTTAAGTAAGTATGTCTACGAAAATAAAATTTTAAAGATCGTAAAGGATGTTAAATTTACATTATGAGAAATGGAAGTTTGGAAGAATCTTGAACTAGTTGGGCTAATACAAGTTAGTTTTTTGTGCTAAGTTTGATTATAGATGGAAATTGTGATCACAACTAAACATATTATGTAATCGTAGTCGATCACATGTTACTTAGGGCTATTTATTACCCACGATTTTGAATGATCAAATTAATATGCTGATGTTTATATTTTGCATGTATACAGTACGATCAAAACAAGATTTTGGTTGAAGTCATTGTTCACACAATAGAACAATGTTATGAAGTTTATAGCATTAATTGTAAATTTGAGCAGCTCGTGGATTAATGTTAATAAATAGCACTAAATTTGAACCGAATATAGTCTGGTTTCCTGTCTCACTCACAATTATGTGAAGAATCAATCATATTTATCTCTGCCTTGCCCACATGCCTACATTGTAGTTCTCATCTTGTTTTTGCTGTCATTTACTATTGGATTTGGATAATCAATAAGTATCATTTTCCTCTCCGTCGTTGACAGCCTTAGACATTTTACATTGCCATTACTCATTACTGCATAACTGATGATACTATCAATGGGAGCAAGAGCAACGTACCCATATCTCACAAATGATAAATCAAACGCCGTGGCAGAGAAAGTTATAAAAGGAGTGTTCCTAACAATTGCAATTAAAACATGTATGAGTATGAACCATAAAGTATATGGATTTAAAATTGTTTATATTGTTAACTCGTTATTTCAGAAACAGCACCTAGGCAGCTTTGTAATACATGATTATTCAACTAAGAACCAATAGAGTTCTAATTAATACTAAAAAAAATAGACAAAAACACAGAAAAATGAATATTCTTTTCCATGTGAATCTGCACCCCCAAGAAGGAACAAATTACATGCATGTCATGACTGGCAAGAAAGTCACACTGGAAATGAGAACTAAAAGAAAAAAGAATACAACAACAACAAACCTTAACTCACTAGGTGAGGTTAGGTATATAGATCACACAAGGCTCGGTTAAAAATCAATAACAAAATGAAGATAAAAAAAAAAAAAAAAAAGATGAGGTTGATCCATATTGCAACTGAAGTATCCATTTTTTAGAAGGCTTGAGGTGGATATGGAGGCCAGTAAAGATGCAGACCAATCTTGTAGACAACCGTAGAACCCTTGAGATTAATTGGAGAAGAGGTAACATAGCCTTGCACAAACAAGAAATCTTTGGTGCCTCCAACAACTGGATGATCTGAACGCTTCATGTTATTTGTGCCTCCAACGATGGAAATAGAGCCCTTGCGATCCTTCAGACGTAGAGTTAGCTTCACAACTGAAATGCTGCTAAGTCCATCAAGACCAGAAGTGATGGAAGTTCCTTCTGCAGTTCCAAGCTGTTTGGAGGATCTGTTTGCTTTGGCAGTTAAAGGGTCTTGAAACACAAAAAGGGTACCAAAAGGGGTCGTGGTAGCAGTGGTTTCTGCTCCTCCTTCAACGCCATTCACTATGACATATCCTGTTTTGTTTATGGTTTCATGCTGGAACAATGACATGTGAAGAGATTTGTGGCGGGGGGGAGCGGGGCGGCGGTGACGACGGTGGTGGTGGTGGTGATGAGAGTCACAAGTGGCCTCAAATGGGATTATGGCTAAAACCAAAAGTAGCATAGCAAGAGCATAGTTATGCAATGCAAACGCCATATTGTTACTTAGCTATGTTTTGATCAGAAAATTAAGAGGGGGTTATCTCAGTATATGCATGACACAAGAGTACTCGTTTTATGCTATATATAGTGTGAAAAGTTAGTTTGCAGACTTCAAAGCCGTGTGGTGCATGCATGGCAGCTATTGCCATCAATGAAAACGATCGATGGCTAAGTCATTAATTAATGGTCGTTTTTCTTTATCCATATAGAAACCTATACATCAAACACTGTATAACTTTCATTATTTTTCTCATATTTCTCTTTTTTGTATTATATTGCCTCTCATTTTTACACTTCTTTTTAATTAAAGAAAAAGTTTACCTAAATTGATCTCGAGAATTTATTAAGATTAGAAGTTTAAAAAATATCCTTTAAATTATTCATTAACAACGTTAGAACAGACACTAAAAAGTAGTCTAAAATTATTAAGTGTCTATAATCTCAATCAATTATTACATGTTTTTTAATTAAAAATCATGTAATACAAAATTATTTAATAATTTATCTTTCGAAGATCACTCGGCCACAAATTGAATTCATGTATCTCACCAAAATTAGGACAAGTCTCAAAAGTTTCAAGACTAAAAAGAAACACTTAAAAAACATTTACAATCATAAATTACTTAGTAACAATATCATTATATTAATATGGACAACTTTTACGAACTAACCTTTAATGTTAACTAGTATGTGTTCTTTTTGGTTCCGAATTTCTGATGTATACAAAATAAAATTTGGGTGAACCATGGAAGACCTTTTAACTGTAGCATGTGTGTGTGTGTCCAGAAACAATGTAGAAAGAGTCAAATTGCATTTTGATGTTCCCTTTGTTGGGGAGCAATTAAGAGCGTATGATTATATCTGTCTTTGTTTGCCTTTTTTTTTTTAATTGTAAAGTGAACTTAGGTAAGATGCGTCTTTCAAAACAGAGCAGTCACGTAATTAGTTGAGTGGTAAGTGGAACATGCCATTCTATTATAATTATTGTTTGCCAACAAAACAGAAAATTCAGTTCAATTTTAATATTTTTCTCTTATCAAAGAAAAAGGGCTAGGTGATTCTACCGAGTGAACATTAGCCACCTTTCAGACCAAATGGGGTAAGTATCAAGGATTTACTTTTTGCACTGTCCTTTTTTGCTATTTGAACCACCTTTTCACATTATTTTCTAATTTTAATCTGGAAACTATATTTCATACGTTCAAGAGTTTTGATTCCAGGAGAGTATTTAAAATTTAAAACAACTTCCGAAATTTTAATTTCAAAATGTATTTAACACTTTTGAAAAATTGATTTTGGACGATGATTTCTAAATCATCCAATCCGGAATTGAATCTTCGAAAAGTAATTACACATTTCTACATTAAATTTTTAAAATAATATAAAAAAGTGATATGACTAGAAAAAGAAAAAGGATGCTACAAAAATAATCCCGAATAATAACTAGATTCTGTCTTCGATTGCAGTCCAGTAAACAAAGCCAATCTTTCAGTTTAAAAAAAAAAAAAAAAAAAAAAAAACTGGCGGTTCAAGAAAGCCCAGAGACCTATGTGTGGAATGTGAAATTACTAAAGTTGGGCCTATGCGTTGGCCATAGTTGGTTTGATTTTGTTTCCACAGATCTTGATTTTTACACCTCTTTGTTCTTAATCTTTCCACCCCCATTTTTGTATTTTTGAAAGAATAATAACACATATACAATATAATTGTATAACAACAACTTATGTGTTTATCTCTTTCAATCACTTTATTTATTTATTATCAATAAATTTTTTTAATAGTAATGATAAAAAAATAAATTAAAAAAGTGATATTGTATAATATTTATTATAAATGTATCATTACCTTTTATGAAAGAGTTATAATACTAAATATTTTCTTACTTCTCAATAATGTGACTAATTCAACCAAAATAGAAAATAAATAATAGATAAAAGTTGTTAAATGTTTGTCGAAATTTTCTATACAACTAACTAAACATACAACTGACCCCAAAGACCATATATCACAAAAATTATGATTGAAATTCAAGTAATTCAACACACATGCTTCAAAAAAAAAAAAATAATTCAACACACACAAAAAAATTCAAGTAACTCATTGTATTAGTATATATGAAAAGAATTACATGTATTTATAGAATAGGAAACTAAAACTAAGCTAGAATGAGACAATGGTACACCTACTCAAATATAACAAATTAATCCTCAAGCAGTAACATATCTAACTACTTACACTAACTGTAAATCAAGTTAGTTATACACTGAACTTTGGATTCAGACTAGTTTGCTAGCTACACATGTTGATGCAACATCTTTGTCATATTCAACCAAGTTTTTTTGACTATTGGAAATTGTGCAAAGTTAGTGCAATGTTTCTTGAATTACTTCCTTTTATCTTTGATAGCCTGGATGCATTCCAATGTCTCGACAACATCTTTCATATGAGGACGTTTTCTATGATTACGTTCAAGGCATTTTAGAGTAAGTTGTGCCATTTTCCATGCTTCTTTAGCTGAATACTGACCCTCTATCCTCTCATCCACAATGCTTTTCAACTTTCTTTTATTAGAGAGAGAAGGCTTTGCCCATTCAACTAGGTTCTGTTGCTCTATGGGCCGATTTTTATCAAGTGCACGCAAACCTGTCAGCATTTCAAGTAGCACTACACCAAAACCATACACATCACTCTTCACATACAAGTGTCCTGTTGAATCATGACACAATCCAAAGCCATGTTACAAACAAAAAGATCACAGTGTTTCAACAAATAGTATCTTCACATTGCATCAATTTGTTGATGATTAATTACCTGTTGCAATGTATTCTGGAGCAGCATAGCCATATGTGCCCATGATCCGAGTAGTCACATGTGAATTTCCCGCAGAAGGGCCCAATTTGGCCAAGCCAAAATCTGAGATTTTTGCATTGTAATCCTACAAAACACAAATTGTGGATTCCCTATTAGTATAGAATCTCTTGTAATTTTTATAGTTTTTTCAGTCCAACAAGAAGGGTACATCATTTGTTTTAGCCTCTATTTCTCACGATAAGGGAGAAGGTTAGACAAAAATGAAAGTGAGAAAGTATGCAAAAATAACATGCCTCATCAAGTAGTATATTTGATGCTTTGAAATCTCTGTATATGATTTGTTTTTCTGAGGTATGTAAGAAAGCCAAGCCACGAGCAGCACCAATAACTATTTTCAGTCGAGTGTTCCAAGAGAGTGGTTCTGTATTAGTATTTCCTAAAAGGAAACAAAAACAAAGTTAATGAGCTAAATTGGTCAAATCAAGTCACGGGGACCATGACCAACAGTTTTTTCTCTCTTATTTATGTAATTTAATTGCCATAAGCTCTTACTTCTAAAAAGGTGATTCTCCAAGCTTCCCTTTGGCATGAACTCGTACACAAGAAGAAATTCAACATCGTCACAACAATAGCCCAAAAGCTTGACCAGGTTTGGATGAGAAATCCTTCCTAAAAAATTGATTTCTGACTGCATTTTCATGTAAAAGAGAGTAACATATTACAAAGTCATGATAGCTAGCTAGGTTGGAATTTATGCAAAAAAACATGATACTGTTTGATCAATGGATATGGATGGTGGTTAGACTTTGCGATTAAAGACAATGAAGAACATTACAATATTATTCAAGAAAAAAAACTTGTTAATTTTTTTAATGTAAAAATAAAAAATTTAATTATTCCTATGAGTAAAATTATTAACATGATAAATCCAACTTGGGAAAAGAAGTTCAAAATATTTTTAAAATATATAAATATATTAATTTTATTATTGACCATGTATCATCTTTCCAAGTAGATATATTAAGAAACAAAAATTTACATTTTCTTTTTATCTTTAACCATTATCTGACAGTAATTAATAAAATCATTTTAAATAATTAAAATATTTATAAATATATGTTAATTGTTTATTTATTAATCAATACCTCAAAGACCAAAACTTACTATTTTTTTTTTGCTGTCAAACAATGCTGATCAAGATCAACCACGGAATAAGAAGATATGCCTAATGTTTATTAATCAATACCTCAGATTTGTTCAAAAAAAATTAAACACTACCTCAAAACTCGAGTATTTGTTTTTTAAGATTTAGGTCATGTTTGTATAAATTATTTAATAAAAATGTATATTTATACGAGATTAAAATACGAAGATAAAATAATGAGTTTTTTAAAATTAAAATTAATTATGTAATACTTTTTTTTTGAAAATTTAAATAAAATAAATATAGAAATTAATTTTAACTTAGAAAAAAAAACTCAATTAATTTCATTTTTTTAAAAAAATTTTCTTATAAATATTTATAATGAAGTTTATCCATCCAAAAAGTATCTTTGCTGTCAACCATTCCTCAACAGGTGTGATCCATGATCCCAAATACATTAATTAATAGTATTTAAGTATATATTAATAGTTATAACATTGTTTATGAAACACAGTGTGCGATTAACAAAATACTAAAAAAAAAGGTTGGAAATTAAACTAACCTGCCACTCTCGAAAGCCTTGAAAACTTTGAGGATTCAATTTCTTAACAGCAACCACCATTCCAGATCCAGCTTTGGTGGGTGTTAGTCTCTTCTCATGCAACCATCCTTTGTACACTTTCCCGAAACCACCTTCTCCCAGCAATGAATCCGACCTGAAACTCTTCGTTGCAGCTTTCAGATCCGCAAAATTGAACACCTTCAAGTTTTGCATTTCCTCACTCGGAAACACAGTGCCATTAACACTATTGCTTTCAACATGCACACTCTCCAAGGACTCACGTGCTGACCCACCTGCAAACCAATTCATTTTCTCAATCATATGGGAATACTGAAATCTAACCTTGTTGTCATCAAAAGAAATGTGTTTCAGAATGTTATAATATTTGTAACAAATAAAAGAACCCATAAATTGTTGCTTCTTTTTTTGGAATAAAAGACGCTCCTTTATGACTTGCCTGATTTAGAAGGTGTTTGGTGGGAAGCGAGCGAAGCAAGACAGAGACCCATGTTAAGTTTTTAGTGTAAACTAAAGAGGATGAATAGGAAACAAAAATGGGTGCTTAGCACTTAGCAGCAATTAATGAAGATGTTCTTCTGTTGAGGATCTGCAGAAAGACGACAGAAGTACTATTGCTAGCTACATAACATGGGTCGTTTTCGTTACTGTTTATGTTTATGTTTGATTGTTGCTATTTATAGTGAGCTTTGCCGTGTTTGCTTCGCGTTTCATTTCACATTCCTCTTATTTATTTATTCTTATTAGAAAGTTTAAGTATTGATTCTCACCTAATCTTAAGGTATGTCAGAGAGTTTTACACAGGAAAATATTTTATCTATGCATAATGACTCAGTTACATAAATGAATTTAGCAAAATGGTAGCACACAAATAAAATATATTAGCAACCGATACAATTCCATCGCAAAATAAATCCAATCAATTCCACTCACTTTTTAACCATTTTTTTTTGCAATAATTTGCAACCCACTATCGATGGCTAAAAACTTTAAATGTCTCATTTGGTCCGCTTAATTCATTGTTAAATTGGTTGCAAATTAATTAATTTTGGCTGCTAATTTCAGTTGCTAATTGATATTTTTCTTGTAATGGAGATCCAATGATTGAGCTAAAACTTTTTGAAGTATAGGTGCAGTCTTTCCATCCATTGTGAATGCACGTGATAAAATAATGATTGTACTCGGTTCGTTGACATAAAATAAGTCAAGTTTAATTTAGGCAAAAAGATCAGTATATAATTTCTTTTGATCAGCCCAATAGTTGTAGACGTAAATTCAGTAGGTTTCTTAATTGGTGGAACTAATAGGAGCAACAGGAACTCTGAATTCAATATTTATTCCATCGTATAATTTATGAATTATATTAAATTTTAATATTTGAATTGTTGAATTGAAAATTTTTGATATATAAATTAAGTTTATAAAGTTTTAAAAAATTTAAAGACTATTTGATACCTTATTATTTTATTAATTTAAATTAATGAATAATTATAAAAATATTTTATATATTAATTTAAATTAA